AGCTATGAGTCATTTCTGCCTTGATAGTACGTAACAATAAAATAACACACAGAAAAATCTGAATAGACAATTACATTAACAGGTTATAAAGTCAGAAATATAGTAAGGATATAAGTTTGTAATACATAGTATATGCAAATAAACACTAAAATATATTTTAAAAATATTATAGTATTAACTAAGTTTTTTGTCATGAAAATGAGATTATAGACTAATTTCTTCTTGTAGACTTTTTAAAGTCCGTTTTTCTGAAATAAGTTAAGTATTATTTATTTAATCAGGAGCTTTTTATTCACAAAATTACTAAATTATTGTTTGAGAAGTTAGGTATAATTATGTCTTTGAGACATCATCCCTAAAGCTTTAAAAGTTACTACCCTCTGCATGGATTAAAAATACTTTAAATCACTTGTGGGATTACAAAATCCCTTTGAAGAAAATAATGTGAGATTTAAATTGGCTACCAAAGCCAGTGGCAAGTTGTCTGAAAATTTTCAGGGCCAAAGGTTAGAGTACTCTTACGTGGAAGATTAGTTTACTACAAAACATTCCTTTCTAAAAAGTATGGCAAATTTACCATTGACCTGTTTCTCTTTACCCATGGTAAATTTCAATGGTAAACTGCTTAACACTGGGCCTTATAGGACAGTTATAGTTCAAAATAAGAGAACAATGATATAGATTAGTTTAAGAAAATTAAACCATGATGAATTTAGCATGTGCATCCATAGAAGTTGGGTAAACGTCAAGGGGAAATTATGTAAGAGGTGTATGTTTGGGTTTAAAATTATGTCCTTTCTGTAGAAACTGAAGTCCCACCAGGATATTGAATGCAAAGAAGGTAAGCTCCTACTGTGAAATTTAAATACTAATATTATTATAGATATTATTAAAATTTTAGCAGTTTCCCACTAATGTCATTTTCTGTCCTAGAATCTTATACAGGATCCCACTTGGTTTATAATTACAGCAACCTTAATTCCTTTCATTTTTAGACAATTTCACAGACTTTATTTCTTTTTCCTTATAGTCTTGAAAAGTACTAAATAAAACAATGGAAAAATTACAAAGAAAATATTTGAAATAAATATCTTGTATATTTATGACCATTTTCAGTTACACATTTCTACTTACCCTAATAGGAAGGGGACAGGGGAATGTTAGCCTACATCTCCAGGTTAAATTAATATGTATTGTACACTCAGGTCTGTGCCAAGAATTATCACATATGTTAATCTTATAAAGTTATATAAATCAGGCATTACAATGACAGCATTAGGTTGATCAGGTGTCTAAATGCTAAGGAATTGGGCTTCCAACCCAAATGTTTGCCATTTTAATTCAAATTTGCTCCGTGGAAGGAGGATAAACAATCTCCTCTCATGTGATTTACTACCTCTGGAAACTCACTGCAGGGTCACTTAGGGGTGGGTTCCAAAAACCAACAACAATAAGCTAACATTATAAATAACACATTTAAATCAGTGTGTCTTGCCACATTGTCTTCTCTCTGACTCAAAGCCATGTGTTCTCTCCATTTAGACATTAGCAACTTTCCATGTATAAAACTTATCAGTAGCTAAAACAAAAAGGTTAGAGGTTTCAGGTACTGTGATGTTACTTCATACAGCCTTAGAATTTGAGCATCTAGCATGGGCTCAGTAATTCAACATTTGAATCATATATGAGCTTAAAGTTTTTGCTGTGTTTTTAACATTGAAAAATTCACCTGGTTTCCACACAGAAAAGTTAGGGAGACAACTCAAGATAATCCTTAAGACCACATAGAAAAAAGAAACCTGCAAAACCTTTGCTTTGAACCTTAACTCCTCCAACGTTACTCATTAGTAGCTCCTGTGGTTCACAGGGACTCATTTATTCAGACATGGGGTGGGAATCTCCTGTAACACAGGTCAGAGTGTCAAGAGTAAAGTTGAATATAAAAATGAAGGGAAACTGGGTGGCTCAGGGGTTAGAATATGACAATATTCACATATTTCTCTTGAGAAAATTTTCAGGATTGCTGTAAAAGGACCTGATCTCTGAGGTACAAAAGAAAATGTCAAGTCACTCAAAAACAAATTACGGCTTTCAACTCTTGACCAAATCTTTTTGGTACAGTGGCTGTTCATGTCTTCCATCTTCTTTTGAAGTTTCACTATTTTGCCCATAACACCTTTTTGTATTGCAACCTGAAGCTTCTTCTTTTTTTTTTTTCCAGTTCTTTCAGTATAGGGATTAAGCTGACCAAGACAAGAGCTGCCTGGGTGAAGACAAAAGAGATTACCTTAGGACAGGAAAAGCCTTGATTCTCTTCCTAGTGCTTCCTACTGATAAAGATGTGGTTTTGGGAAAAGGAAGGTTAGCAAACAAGAAAAGAAACAATAAAAAAAATCCTGAAGCCCAGTTAACATGTTTTACTGCTTTTGTAATGAAAAGTGTGTCAATAAAAACTACGAGGATGAGCAGGCCAGGAGGACACTCAACCATGAGTTTCTCACCTTTTGACTAATGAAAGTCTTGAGTAGCTCATTCCTTAGCTTGACACTTTCCTGATGGTCAAAGAAGTACAATATTTTCATCTTGAAAAATGTCCTTTTTTATTCTTTCAATCCAGCTCTTTGGACACTGTGTTAGAATAATACTTTGCTTGATCTTCCTGAGCTGCACATTGAAATCTTCTGTTCATAGATTTACTTCTGTATCTTTGCCCTTTGTTTTGACATCTCATTACTCTATCGAAATTTTCAGAGTCTCTTCTGACATCTATTTTTGGCTTTTTGTTTCTCCTCTGTCTTTGTAATGACTTTTTGCTCTCTTTCTGAGTGATATCCTTGATGTCATCCCACAACTCATCTGGTTCTCAATAGTTAGTGTTCAATGTCTCAAACTTATTCTCTAATTTTTTTTTTAAATTAACGTGAGACAGACTCAAGGTCAAATCTTGATTCTTGTGAATTTGTTTCCATTTTCTTCAGTCTGTTTGGACTTGCACATGAGTAGTTGACTGATTTTGACTGCGGTTATTGAGCGTCTCCAAACATTTTTTAAACAGATGTAGACAATTTGAATCCTGTACAGTGCATCAGGTGAGAACGTGTATAGTCACCATTTGTGTTTCCTAAAAAAATTTCAATGATGAATAAATCATCAAACATACAAAATTCAATCATTTGATTTCCAGCTTCATTTCTTTTACTAAGTCCATACTTTCCAACTATTATTCATTCTTCATTGTTTCCAACTTTTGCATTTTAGTCACCAATTACTAATAATACAACTTGATTGAATGTTTGATCCATTTCAGACTGCTAGAAAAAGTTGACAGGATTCCTCAGTTTCCTCATCTTTGACTTCAGCTATTGATGTATATAGTTGAAAAATAATGGTATTAATAAGTCTTCCTATATTCATATGGATAGTATCCTATTACAGCATTATACTTCAGGATAGATCTTAAAGTTTTGTTTTTAACTATGTATAGGCCATTCTTCCTCAAATTTTTATTATCATGACAGTAGATCTTATGATGTTATGATTCAAAGTGGCCAGTACCAATCCATCTTAGTTCAGTAATGCCTAGAATGTTGATATTTATGTGTTTCATTTCATCTTTAACTATTTCTAGTTTTTTCTAGATTCATACTTCATACGTTTCATATTCTAATTATTAATTTATGTTTCTCCTCATTTTTTAGACTTTTAATAGGTGAATTTGGAAATCAGAAAGACTGCCCCTATAAAATCACAGAGGAAATAAATCAAAGAGTTATTTCCTCATATTCTCAAAAATGTGATGTTACCCCCAGGATAATAGAACTGAGACACAAAAAGAGATTTGTGCACTAATTTTCATAGCAGCATTATTTACAATAGTAAGAAAATAGAAACAGCCAAAATGTCCATCAACAAATGATAAAACTGAGAATTTGTGGTACATTCATTCAATGGAATACTATGCAGCACTCAGGAGCAATGATTTTGAAAAATATTATAGAACATGAGAGAGGTTGGAAGGCATTATGCTGGGTGAACCAGCATAAGGCTCTAAAGGACAAATACTACATAAGACCATTATTATAAAAATAGAAGGGTTACTACTAAGAAGTATAAAAAAGTCCAAAGGGGAAAGGGGAGTGGTGAGGGGATTGGAATCTTAGGGGCACAGAGTTATGTGGGCAGAGTGAGGGGTTGAAGAAATTATAAAAGATCCAATGGAGACTTGAAAAAGTAGAGTAATGATGGACATGAATCAATGATGATTAATTTGATAAAACACAATATGCGGGAATGATATTATGAAACACCAAGTGAATAAAAGAATGCCTGAATCACAATGTGTATAAACAAAAGACTATATATACAAATTTTGTATTGAAACCAATATAAAAGAAAAAGAATTTTTGAAAAGTATTTGAAATAAAAAAAAAATTTGATGTTATCTCTTTCCCATATCTAACCACTGACAGCTGAGGTACAGAAAGATATGTATCACATCCAAATTTATACTTAAATTATATGGTACTGGCTGTATTTGATTTGAAATTTTAAAAATAGTGGCAGCTTTTTCTGAAAATCCCTTTGGTTTAAAAACATACAATAACGATAAGATTGTAGCCTCTCCTCACTATTTCCTTTCAAGGAGGAAGATTCATCTCTTTGAGATGTAACTTTCTAATAAGTCTATCTTTACTTTTTACCTTCAAAAAATATTCATAAGATTGCACTATTATATCCATATTTTACATAATCATAATCTCTTCCAAGCACACTTTTGGGGGTTATTGTTGTTGTTGCAATATTGTCTTAAATTCTACTCAATCTCTCAGCACTTGAGTTTCATCACCAATAATATGAGTATCCCTGGTGTTTCTGATTTCCAGGAATGTTTTAAGAAATAAAAAGAAAGTAATGAAATGAACATCATTTGAAATTTTACATTATAAATTTCAGTTTCTCTGAGTCGTGTCCTATCTGAAATTTGCAGGTCACGTGGACACATGGAGATAGGAAATCACTCTGCTGTGACTAAATTCTTTTTGGTGGGGCTTTCCAGATACCCAGAGCTCCAGCTATCCCTTTTCGTGTTCTGCCTCATCATGTACTTGATAATCCTCCTGGGAAATAGCCTTCTTATTATCATCAGTATCCTGGATTCTCGCCTTCACACCCCTATGTACTTCTTCCTTGGGAACCTCTCATTTTTGGACATCTGTTACACATCCTCTTTCGTCCCTCCGATGCTTATCATATTTAGATCTGAGAGTAAATCCATCTCTTTCACTGGCTGCGCTCTACAGATGGTTGTCTCCCTTGGATTGGGATGCACTGAGTGTGTTCTCCTGGCTGTGATGGCTTATGACAGATACATGGCCATCTGTAATCCACTGAGATACCCCATCATCATGAACAGGATACTCTGTGTGCACATGGCTGCTTGGTCTTGGATCACAGGCTGTCTGAACTCTCTAGTACAAACAGTTCTAACAATGATGTTACCTTTCTGTGGAAACAACGTCATTGACCATCTTACCTGTGAGCTACTGGCTCTTCTTAAACTCATCTGCTCAGATATCACCATCAATGTGCTTATCCTAACAGTGGCAAGTATTGTCTTTTTAGTGATACCTCTAATGTTAATTTTCATTTCTTATGTTTTCATCCTCTCTACCATCCTGAGACTTAACTCCACTGAAGGGAGAAAGAAAGCTTTTTCTACCTGCTCAGCCCATCTGGCTGTGGTAATATTATTTTACGGTTCAGCTCTTTTTATGTACATGAAACCAAAATCAAAGGAAACAAAGACATCTGATGAGATAATTGGGCTATCTTATGGAGTAGTAACTCCGATGTTGAACCCTATCATTTACAGTCTGAGGAACAAAGAGGTAAAAGAGGCTGTGAAGAAAGTCCTAAGCAGACACTTGTACTCACGGAAAATATGAAAGACAGTAAGATTTGTGGTTGTAAAGACAAATTTCTCATTTTTACACCAGACAATGCCTACTTAAACCTTAAAAATAATAACTATTCATTATAATTTATATCTACATGCAACTCTGTCTCTTGGTTTTTTTCAAAGTCATAATGGAAGTTATTTATGGCAAATTAATTCTCCCTTTCTCTTACTCTATTTCTCTACCTCCTTTCTCCTTTTATTCTTCTTTTTTTTTTCCACAATGTCTTTGAAGCATATACCTACTGTTTTGGTCTGCGCAACAAGCTTTCTTCTGATAAAATAATACATCTTTTAATTTTTTAATACTCACTGGTCTTCCAAGATCAAGTTTATATTTTGCTAAATGGGACTGATTTTATTTTTTAGATCAAGTGATATGGACAACATGTACATATGGCCAATGAGGAAAGAACATTACCCGAGGCACAGTTACTCACACAGGGTAGTATGTGACTGTAAAAGGAGTCGGTGAAAAGTGGGGTGGCTGAGTCTGACTTATTACCTGCTTCATAAAAGGAGCTATCCCCATAAACAATATCTATAGTACCATACAAATAGATAGATGGTCAGACATACCATCCCACAATCTCCTATACCTAATTCTATCAATCAGTGGGTTCAATGTTCATTGAAAGACTCGTAGACTTTACTCACATTCATGGGGTTTGTTAGGGAAGTAGGTTGTAGAGTGGGAGAAGCAAAGAATATGTCAAAATGCAAGTCCAGGTTTAGTTCAGCAGTCCCAAACCAGATTAACAAGGCATCATTCCACTATTAATGAAAGTCCAAGATCAGTTCAATAGCACAAGTGCAAGAAGCCTCTTGTTTTCTTAATCATCCAGCAAACTTTATGTAAGAGTTATAAGTCAACTTTTCTTTCAATCATCCAGCAAGTAAAACCTTTAACTATCCTTTATCTCTAGTATTCCCCTGGTTATGTCTTGCCACAGTCTCTTCACAGCAGTGCCACAAACTCTTCATAGTCTCTCCACTGCAGTCCTTCTTCACAGTGTGGAAAGGGCTCTCTTATGTTGGTCTCACAGCTGTTAACTTATAAGACTATTTGTTTCCAATTGATGGGCTAGAAAAACCAATTTTGTTCTGACAATGCAGTAACTTAACCATAGTAAGCTGACTTATTTCAGGACTGTTGCCTAAGCATCAGAAAATAGTTATTCTGTTAACTGGATTAAATGATCAAATGAGAGCCTGGAGCTTTGGGTGGCCATATTTGACAATACATGGAAAAAAATCTAAACTGAAAATAGAATCACCAGAAAAGAAATAAGAGTTGAAGAAAAAGGAGGCGGAGAAGAGTGTATGTGATGTTGTTATTTTAACCTCTGAGTCAGGTTGAATATAAAGACAGATTCACCCTTGAACTTATAAGCTACATGAGTAAGTAATCACCTTAAGAAAAAAAAATGGCTTATTCTCATAATTTACAACCATATAATTTTTTATTAAGTCATTCTCTTACATTTTTGTCATCCCGTGCTGCCTTTTGAAATCTTCTATTCAACTCTTTAGTATCTTGAATTCTTCCCTGTGCTTTGGCTTCTCTGTGCTC